ACACACACACACACAGAGGCAGAAACACAAAAATGAAATAAACGAAACTTGCGAGGGAAAACAACGAGATATATTGGTTAAATAAAAATAAATGTGTAACTAGATTCTAGTTACACAATCTAGACTGAAAAGACATAGTCTAGATTGTTTCTTGATTATTTCCATTTGAATTCATACTTTCAACAGGTCTACAAACACGGGAACACACTGTTTACTCTTGTTCAGGCTCACTACTGTCTCTCTGTGGAAACTACTGAAAAGTGCACCAATTCTCTGCAAATGGTACTCATGATGAGTGGTTGTTGATTAGTGGTCATGACAATTTACATATTAATGATCAGGAAATTGGCCTCACAGTCCATTGTTCGTCAGTGGTGCTAGTTTCAGTCATTATGTAAATGGACTGTTTATAATGCTGAGGAAACCTGCAGTCATTTGAGAATGAAGAAGTCAGTGAGTGATAAAACATTTCTCCCACTGAAAATGCTACGTCGAGATGAACAGAATCAACATTTGGGGGTTTCCTTGCCTGGGTGATTGAGCATGCAACAAGACAACTAAGTTAACTGTCAAAGACATAATATAATTTACACCTGTTAATTAGGCTTCATTTTTTTGGTGATAGTTCCTGTTTTCTCTTCTTCACTTTCTGTCATAATTTATTCATTTCTCAAGAGTATTTTATGTGTTCACACTCCTTTTCAGTGGAAGCTATAAATGAATGTTTGACAGCAACAAAGCTGACCTCGACTATAATTTTTCAGTGCTGCACCTGTGATGAAACATGCCATGTTGGCACACTAACACACGAGTCCACAGACGACGTTGCAGCAAGTTGGTAAGAATGTAGCCTTTGTTGCTCATAGTGTGAACTTAACATTTAAGTGTCTTTATTTCAAAGGGACTTTATCTTCTGTCATCTATGTCCTGTTTCACTGGTGAATGCTTATATTTAACACTTGAACTCAAGGTATGTACAAGTATCACTGAGTAAAAAGCCAACACTTCAGGGTGCATTAAACACACATTTTTTTCTACTCTTGGATCTATATGATGCCATGCAGAGTGTAGATCTCTAATATGGTCTCCTCAAGAGCACTGACTCCTGGTCCACATGCTGTTCAGGTCTTTTGTTTATGAGGTGCAGCCAATCAGAAAAAAGTTGTTTAAAACAGAAGCTCAAGCTAAAACTGTTGGCTTCAGTCATGAACCTAAGCTCCACCAACACCCTGTATAAGGTTAATAAGGATTCTGTTGAACTATGATACAAAGCTACTCTAGTAGAGACTACTGGAGTAACTTTGCATCTAATAGGTCCCCTCACAAATGCTGACAGGATGACAAGTCAAAACATTTTACTGGGAATACACAAATTTCCTTTGTGGAAATTTGTGTATTCCCCTTTTCATATGGAGAAAGTAAGTGGAAGACTTCTCAGAAATTAAGTCTATTTTATTTCCATGAAAGTACAGAAGAAGTGTCCGTTATATTCTTAAATATTTTATCTGTTATATTTTTAGATCTTTATTCCTGATGGCAACAATTTAATGTCATCATATGCTGACATATGTGGCATATGTTGGTTATGTTTGCTTTGTACCATATCACTAGGTAGCTGTTGCTGTGCAGTGTATAAATTTTAAAAAGTCAAAAGTGTTAAAAATGTTGTAAGTCTTGGATAAATGCAGCATGTACAATATCACATATAATTATAAGATTTTATTTTATTTTTTTATGAAAACAGCTGGTCACAAACACTACTACATGACTTCTTTGAATGAACCCAAAGACACATGGCTTCTTCTACTTGGTTTAGTTGGATTTCACCATAAACAGATACATAATAGAGTGATGGTTTTATCTGCTTTGTCATCAGCTTTCCTATTTTATCTGACAGGCAGCATAAACAGCTTCGGTGACACTTTCATCTGCCTGTCATTGGTCTATATATTAGCTGTTAACCACAGCACATCATTCCACAATTTTCATTTATAAAACTTTATTTCTCTTGTGCATTTCTCCCAATTTCTTATACTGTTTACATTTTCTTATTATTAGTTCTTCAGTCAGCTGTAGAGCCTTCAAACTTGTGTGCAAGGCACTATATGAATAAAGTTTGATTGACAGATGATTTATTATGCATGTATGCATTAATGTAGCCAGCTCATACTGTGAATAAATTTGAGATTTGAAGGGAGAGGAGGACGTTATAGAAGAAGAAATCACATGTTGCCCAATTAGGCAACATGTTTTTAGGTGTTCTAAAACTTTTGACTGGTAGTGTGTGTGTGCATGTGTGCGTGCGTGTGTTAGATTCAAATTATTGTAGGGTCTTTACCTTGCGATATAAAGTGCCTTGAGGTGAGTGTTGTTGTGATTTGGTGTTATTTATACACATAAATAAATAAGTACATTAAATAAAATAAATAATATTACTCATCCTTAAGTTCTCCTTTACACTTTTTATACTATTATTCCTTTATGTTCAGTATTATCTGCAAAACTTTGCTTTAAAGTATCTTTATTTTGCCTTCATTTATATGAAGTGAATTTTTAAATGTATGTCAGTACTTAAATTTCAGCAATTTTCACTTATTTGGAATCTTTTGTCGTACACGTTAATTCAAATAACAATATATACAGTTTGCACATTTCTGATCTATATAACAAGCACATACAAAAGCAGATACAGTTCAAAAACACACTGTGCAATTCACTCCTAACCCTAAACACCAGCATCGAACCCCAGCCCATCAAACATCCTGAACAAAGAGCAATATTTAAAGCTGCACTAACCAATATTTTTGTATTAACACTGAATCAAATGAGCCTCACTTGAATGGCAAACACAATGCGAATGATCATTGGTTTGGTTTAATAGAGCTCATCTATATTTAGTGTCAGTGTTGCTTCATATCTCATGGATATTTGTATTTAGCACGTTAACAGCTTGTTTCTGCTGCCACCAAGTGGTCAAAAGTCTACCAGTTCCACCACAACTTTACTTATTGTCTTCAAAGTTAATATTTGTTTCCCGTGTAATAACAACGCTTTATCACCTTCTAAACAAGAGTGTTCTAGTTTAATTCAGTCCTTCCATTTGTCCATTACTAACAGACATATTTCTCTCGCCAACTCACCGGTGCTTTTGGTTCAGTCTTCACCTGGAAGGTTCCCCAGCAGCTCCAGCTGTGGGTTTGCTCAGTCAATCCCTTGTATCAAACAAGAAAGGATTCTTTTTATAAAAGAAAAAACAGAACTCAGACACGAGAAGAGATTTTAAGCCAGACCAGCTGGCTTAGAAGAAGGGGTACCCAGAACTGGGCAGTGTTTGGATCTGAGCTCTCTCTCTGCACTGAGCAGCAGATACCCCACACACTCAAACACCGCCCACTCCATTCCACCACCACACACAGTTGTACACACGCACACACACACACCCAGTGACCCCCTATGTCTGAGCCAGCTGAGTGTATGTATCTGAAGGAGCAGGCTCACCTGTTGTTATCACTCATGGTATATTTAGATTTGCCACAGATGCTACCAGTGTGTGTGTGTGTGTGTGTGTGTGTGTGTGTGTGTGTGTGTGTGTGTGCTACAGAGACAGAAATGTGTTGCTGACACTCAGAAGCCTACATGGGCCGTGGTGTAAGAACCCTGGATTACTTCCCATAGACCATCGGCTCTACACATTACCGAGATAGAGAGAGTGATCAAACCTGTGAGCATGTCGTAGATATCAGCACTCCAAGCATCTGCAGCAGAGGATTAGGTCAGCTGTCCACTCCTGTCACTTCTGAGCAGAGGGAGGAAAGGGGGCAAGTGTGTTCGGTTGAATTCCTTAGTCTATGAAACCATCAGACAAGGGTGCAGGCTGAGTGTCTGAAAACCCCAAAGACAACAGCCCTACTTGTTTCTAGACTGGAGACAACTATTCCAAAGCAGATTAACTGAAATTTTAGATGGAAATTAGAGCTATCACAAAATCATACATTTACTAGTTGGTTCCATTACATTTAAAAACAACCACTGGTGATAAGAATTTGAATACTATAAAATCAATTAAAATATTATATGTACTCTTGTATTTTTCAACAGCATGTCACACACACAATGTTAAACAGGCTGAATGATAACAATAGTGGTGACTAACATCATGGCAGGAACTCAGGGTTTGAGCTACACATTAGCATATACAACACTGGCCTAAATAATATTGTTTGGTACTACCATTAACATTAATAACTTTGTGATTGCTTTTGTAGTGAGTTAATGACTGCAATTTCATCAAACAATGCGGTTTCTCTTTCTTATGTTCTCATGAGCCTGGAGTTCTGTCCGGTCAACTTTGCTGCATTTGTTGAGTGTGAGCATAAAGTTTTAACTTATATACTTGAAAATTCAACAGGCTGCTTATGTTGTCTCTGATATCCTTAACCCTTTAAGACCTACCATAGATAAGATAAGATAAGATACCTTTATTAGTCCCACACGGGGAAATTTCATCCAAGAGTGCCAGAGCTTATATTATATTTTTACATGCTCTAGTGCCATTTTTGGGAAGTTTTCAATTTGATAAATATCAATACAACCATTATTGCCCATATTTTAATAATATGTATGCATTAAGTGCATATTAATTACATAAATTGCACAAAAGTGCAATAAACTACAAAAACATTGAAAATCGGTTTTTGTTTGTTTTTTTGTTTTTTTTAAACATATATTTCTAGTTAGAGAAATTTAAGAGGCTTATCCCTCAAAACTGTAAATACAAAGTTGCATAAAATAGTTTCCCACCACAGGAAATTTATTTTTAGTGTCTTAATAGTTTTATTTTTGAAATACACCAATTTTTATGTACTGCAGGAAAAACGAAAATAAATATTATAATGCAAATTTGCAAAAAAAACAGCATATGCATCAAAATAAACTACTTCCAGCATCCCAGACATGACACAGAAAGTCATATAGTCAAACATAACTTTTAAAAACACAAGTATAGGCTCATAAGGCCCTGATGGTAAAAAACTACATTTCCGCAAAATGATGTCACTTCCGGATTCGGGCAGATCCTGGCGGACATGCGATAGTTCGCGCTGATGGACGTAGGAAGTGTTACAAACAGCTGATCGGATCGGCAAATTTTTATGCAAATTTTGACCCAGCATAAGATGTAAGTACAACTCCTCCGGTTTCATATGCAAAAAAAATTATTGCGCCAGCTTACGTGGTTGCAGTGCTACCGGGATTTAAAAATAGTTACGCAAAACGGAGCGTGCCCGCTCCGACCGGCTTTAAAGGGTTAATAAACAATAATGACCCAGGGATCAATGTGACACATCCCCATGTGTCACATTGCCTCTCAGTGTTTTACATGTGCTGTAATGTCTCATCAGAATCAGAATGAGAATCAATACTTTATTAATCTCTAAGGAAATTATGTGACTACAGTTCCTCTAAGACAATAAGAACGGTAACAGACTGAAGTAAATTAAATAATAGAATATATATCCAATATATGTACAACATATAAAAAAGTAGAAAAAGGTACAATATAAAGCGCCTTGAGGCGACTGTTGTTGTTGACACTGTATAAAATTTAACTGAATTGAGTATAAGTTCCATATATAAGTTACAAAATATAAGAAATAGCTCTAATATATACAAATAGCTCAATTACAATAATACAGAATATATATGACTGACATTTTACTGCAAACTGTACAACTTTGCTACTTGTTATTTTCACTTTAGAGGACGTGCAAAAGGGTGTAACTATTGCAGTGTGTACTGTACGATTGAGCTGTTGAACAGGGAAACTAGTGGAGATCGTTCAGTGGTGCCACTCAGTGTGTCACTGAACATGCTCCTGTGACTGGCCAGCAGGTCATGGTGTGGGTGAGAGGTATTCTCCACCATTGTCTTTATCTTGGACAACATCCCCCTCTGACACCATATTAACGGTGTCCAACTCTATCCCCACAACGTTACTGGCCCTGCGGATCAGTTTATTGAGTCTGTTGGCATCTGCGACCCTCGACCTGCTGCCCAAGCATGCAGCGGCATACAGAATGGAACTGGCCACAAGAGACTCAGAGACCATTGTCCAAAAGATGTTAAAAGACCTCAACCATCTCAAAAAATTTATTCTATTCTAAAAAAAAAAGAAGCAAAAAATAAAAAAAACACACAATTTTGTTGTACATGTACAGTGACACTAAAGGCTATTCTATTCTATTCTATTCTATTCTAAAATAGAGGTAGCCTAGTTTATTCTCAGCGTGTACTCAAGCTATTTATAGTCCTCCACATCAACCTCTTGGATTGAAAAAGGGGTCCACAATCAATTCTTTGATCTTTGTCATGTCGAGCTGCAGATGATTCCGCTCACACCACGTGATGAAGCAGTTAACCACAACCCACAACCACAACCACATCCAGTACCAAAGGTCTGTAATCCTGGGGGCCACTGGGACGTGGTGTCAGGAATGACTCAGATTCATCATGAACAGTTTATGAAAGACTCCACAAGCTGGGGGCAAAGGCCTTAAGGACACGGGGACTCACCTCTTTTGTTCCAGCAGACTTGCCTGAGTGGAATCTTCTCATTTGTCTCTGAACTTGTTAATGAATGAAAGTAAAAGGTGGCGAAGGAGTGTCAGGACTTTCACAGGAGGCTATGGTGCAATGTGGAGAGAGAGTGGTGTGGCTGTGGATTGCAGGCTGACTACAGGTAAGGCTACCTCCTCTTTGTTTCTCACTCTGAAGGCCCCATTCCTGCCATTCAGGAGTGATTTGATGTCCTCTGTCACCCACGGCTTGTTATTTGGGTAACAATGGACAGTCCAAGCTAGGAAAATGAAGTCGATGTAGAAGGCTATGTACTCAGTGATACACTCAGTAAGCCCATTAATGTCCTTAAGGTGAGGTTCACAGAGTGTCTCCCAGTCTGCAACCTCAAAACAGCTCTGCTGTTCTGCTAAGACCTCCTCTGACCACCTCCTAATACTCCTAGTGGTCACAGGCTCCCTCCCCACAATAGGCACATAGCAGGGGCACACCCTAATCCTAAAAATGTTATTACTAGAGGCAAGTTTTATTTTTCTCCAACTACAACTTTTCTGTGTGCTTTATTGCAAAGTATGTGCCACTATAATAGAAAAGTCACTCCATCACTTTGCCAAATTCCAATAAAATGATCAAATGTATGGAAACTACAATGTTGCTAGGAGGAATGTTTTTTTCTTTCAGTGCCATTGAGGGTCCACAGCAGTGTGGCTGGGTGAAGCTGGGATGTCGAGAGATGAAGTTACTGTGAAATCCATGAGCGTGTGAAAACGAATCCATCTTCACCCAGCTGCCAAGCATAGTCCACAATCCACTGCGTGTGTCAAGACATTCCCTCTTCATGTCTGTGTCTGTGTTTTCCTCCAGCTCCTCCATCAGCATTAAGCATTTCTTTTATCTTATACAATACAATTTATGAAATACTTTATTGCAAAGAATTGCTGAACAACATAATACTTGTGACACTACTGTATGTAAAGTCATTAGTCTCAGAATCATACTCACTGTTTTAAAATCCAGTACTTGATTTATAAATAAGAGGTGGTTGTGGTGGAGGTGAATATATAAAGCATGCACAGCACAGATATTGTCTAACTCTCCACAGTTCCATCACAGTTCCAAAAGAGTTGAGATGAGTAGCAATGATTTTAGAATCTTATAAATCAATCTTTTATTCACAAAAGAACAGAAAAAAAAAAATCAAATTCTGGCTTCTCATTGTCCCATTTTTGGTTTCATGATGCTCCAAATGTTGTCAGTTGATGAAAGGTCTGGACTGCAGGCAGCCTAGCTCAGCACCCGGACTCTTCTACTACAAAGCCACGCTGGTGAACTTCTGCCCATCGTTACTTCTCTGAAACTCCAAGATGCTCTTTTTATACCCAATTATGCTACTGGCCTATTGCCAATTATATAATTAAATAGTTGCAAAATTGTCCTCCTTTTTAGTACCATTTACCTAGCATGCATATCTCTGGGAAGAAACCTGACTGCCTGCAGGAAGTTCACACAAAGAGAATACAAACTCCATGCAGAAATGTCCCAGCCAGGACTAGAACCGTATTAGCATTATATCGCATCGCAGGAGAATCATAAATGCCATTTATTCCAATAGTCCAGAACAACCAACTGTTCATGAAAAAGATTTGTGAGTTTTCCCGACTTGTGAGTTGAGGTAGAAAAGTCATAGAAACAAAACAAATAAATAAAAAGCAACTGAAAAGGCCCAACTTTTTATTTGAAGGTGAACAGTCTGTTTCTGGTTTCTCAGTAAGCTGTTTGCAAGTGTGTGTAAAAAGGA